TCTGCTTCAAATGCAGGGGGAGAGGGTTCGACACTTGGTCAGGGAACTAAAAATCCTACATGCCACATGGCACTGCCAGTAAATTTAAAAAATTATTAAAATAAATAAATAAGAATGTTCAGAAAGAACGCACAAGCTTTTGGGTGTTTCTTCAGGTACATTCCATATTGAATTATAGTCTTGAGTTAAAACTTGAAAGTTTTCACTTTCAAGGCAATCACAACTGGGCATGAAAAAGTCCTGACGCCTTGTGGCCATTCCCTGCAATAGCAATCTTAAAACTTACGCTTATGAGAACCTTTCATGCAAAGATGGGCTCAGTAAAGGACATAAATGGTGTGGACCTAACAGAAGCAGAAGATATTAAGAAGGGATGGCAAGAAAACACAGAAGAACTGTACAAAAAAGATCTTCATGAACCAGACAGTCATGATGGTGTGATCACTCATCTAGAGCCAGACATCCTGGAATGTGAAGTCAAGTGGGCCTTAGGAGACATCACTACAAACAAAGCAAGTAGAGGTGATGGAATTCCAGTTGAGCTATTTCAGATCTTAAAAGATGATGCTGTGAAAGTGCTGCACTCAATATGCCGGCAAATCTGGAAAACTCAGCAGTGGCCACAGGACTGGAAAAGGTCCGTTTTCTTCCAATCCCAAAGAAAGGCAATGCCAAAGAATGCTGAAACTACTGCACAATTGCACTCATCTCATACACTAGCAAAATAATGCTCAAAATTCTCCAAGCCAGGCTTGAACAATACATGAACCGTGAACTTCCAGATCTTCAAGCTGGTTTTAGAAAAGGCAGAGAAACCAGAGAATAAATTGCCAACATCCACTGGATCATCGAAAAAGCAAGAGAATTCCAGAAAAAAATATCTATTTCTGTTTTATTGACTATGCCAAAGCCTTTGACTGTGTGGGTCACAATAAACTGTGGAAAATTCCCAAAAGATGGGACTACCACACCACCTGACCTGCCTCTTGAGAAATCTGTATGCAGGTCAAGAAGCAGCAGTCAGAACCAGACATGGAACAACAGACTGGTTCCAAGTCAGGAAAGGAGCATATCAAGGCTATATACTGTCACCCTGCTTATTTAACTTCTATGCAGAGTCCATCATGAGAAATACTGGGCTGGATGAAGCACAAGCTAGATTCAAGATTGCCGGGAGAAATATCAGCAATGCAGATGGCACAACCCTTATGGCAGAAAGTGAAGAAGAACTAAAGAGCCTCCTGATGAAAGTGAAAAAGGAGAGTGAAAATGTTGGCTTAAAACTCAACATTCAGAAAACTAAGATCATGGCATCTGGTCCCATCACTTCATGGCAAATAGATGGGTAAACAGTGGCTGACTTTATTTCAGGGGCTCCAAAATCACTGCAGATGGTGACTGCAGCCATGAAATTAAAAGACACTTACTCCTTGGAAGAAAAGTTATTACCAACCTAGAGGGTATATTAAAAAGCAGAGATGTTACATTGCTAACAAAGGTCTGTCTAGTCAAGGCTATGGTTTTTCCAGTGGTCATGTATGGATGGGAGAGTTGGACTATAAAGAAAACTGAGTGCTGAAAAATGGATGCTTTTGAACTGTGGTGTTGGAGAAGACTTGAGAGTCCCTTGGACTGCAAGGGGATCCAACCAGTCCATTTTAAACAAGATCAGACCTGAGAGTTCATTGGAAAGACTGATGTTGAAGCTGAAACTCCAATGCTTTGGCCACCTGATGTGAAGAGCTGAGTCATTTGAAAAGACCCTGATGCGGAGAAAGATTGAGGGCAGGAGGAGAAGGGGATGACAGAGGATGAGATGGTTGGATGGAATCACCGACTCAATGGACACGAGTTTCGGTAAACTCCGGGAATTACTGAGAGACAGGGAGGCCTGGCATGCTATAGTCCATGGGGCTGCAAAGAGTCAGACACGACTGAGTGACTGAATTGAACTGAAAAGGGGAAAGAATATGAAGAAGAATTGAACTGATAAGGGGAAAGAATATGAAGAAGAATAGGTATCTATATCTATATCAAGAATAGATAGCTATATGTATATCAGACCAGCTGGAATGTAAGTGATGCTGATGGTGACTGGTTCTGACTCTCAAGACTTCAATCACCGGAAGCTTGGAGTCTCCCACAGCCCAAGACCCTTAACGAACATGCCTGTAAAGTTAACGTGTTAGTCACTCACTCATGTCTGACTCTTTGCAACCCCATGGACCACCAGCCTCCTCTGTCCATGGGATTCTCCAGGCAAGAATACTGGAGTGGACTGCCCCACCCTCCTCTTGGGATCTTCCTCACTTAGGGGTTGAACCCGGGTCTTCTGCTATCCAGAGATTGTTTACCATCTGAGTCACCACAGAAGCCAGAACATGCCTGTACTCATAGACTAAAGCTTCCCCAACTTTGTGGTTTACAGAGACACTGCTCTGGAAAGCTCCATGGTGTTCTCCATAGTTCTGCAAGTAACACAATTTTCCTTCCCATGAGCTTTGGCTGGATTGTACCTTCTGGCTCTACACCCACCAAGAGGTAAACTCACTTTTCTGGTAACATTTCTCCATCCAGACTCCCAACCACCACTTGACACTTGATACTAATTTTATAGTCAGTCGCTTTGCTTCCAATACATGGAAATCACATTATTTTTCTGTGAGCAAAGCTACCTAAGGGCCAGAAACAGTGTCCCTATTTTATCTTGTGAAGCCAGTAGTGTCAAGCAAACTCAGCTCAGTGGATCCACAGTTCCCCTGATCGATGCCTCGGCTTACAGAAAACACTTGCAAGGCTTTGAGGTTTTCTTTATACCTCATTTCTGAAGGCTTTTCATACCTACATTAAATATACAGATGGCTCATCAATGCCACTTCCACTTTCAGGTTAAAAATCCTCCAAGTTTTTTCTAACATACTTATTCCATGCGTTGTGTTTAAATCTTTGACCACACGGTGTTTATCTTGTGTCTCATCAGAATGTAGTTAATTACACCGTTTTCCCTTGAACAATGCAGTACTCACCACATAAGAGTTCTTGCCAAAACTGGATTTGATAAGGTAGGGCACAGGTGGGCGTAGGATAAGCTCCAGGAGCACAGTTACTGTCTGGTGGAACCGATAGACCAGTTGAGGTCACTGGAAGGAAACATTCCTCCTGAGGACAACCCGCCCACTTGAGGATCCAGGCCTAAGAGGCCATGCCTGAAAACAAAGAAACCAGCCAAGATGCGCCTGCGCGCCGGAGGCTTGACAGACACGCCCACAGAGGAGCCAATCCCCGAGCGGTGGGGCGGGGCTTCCATAGCGCTCCCCACCCTCCGGGAGCCTATTGGCCAGACTGCCTCAGTCACAACGCCGATTGGTCGCTTGTGCCTGACAGGGTACAGGCAGGCTGCTGGCCCTTCACTTCACCTCAGCGCCGTAGGACAGGACGTCGCTGAACCTCTAGCGCTCCCGGGGACAGGGTGGGCAGCGCGGCAGGACAGCGGGGAGGCTGACGGGAAGGTGTCCTGCACAGCCCTCGTAAACCCTTAACCTGATGGCTTCAAATTCCAGGGTGGGAGGCCCGAAATCCTCTCAACTTTGAGTAACATGAGTCCTAATCTGAAGGGGGCTTGGTCTCGTCAGCTTCAGGGATTACAAGTCCCTTCACCCACAGAAACACCGAATCCCCTAGTGCTGCGACCCTCAAATACCTAGATTAACTCCAGTTCCCCTCAGCCTGAGGCACCCGAAAAATAGCACCCGCAGAGAGACCAAATTTCCTCAACCTTGGAGACCCTGAATACCTCCGCCTGGGAGCTCTTAAAACTCTTCCTCCTCAAGACCCTAACTGTCCTGCCTGTCGGAGACCTAAAGTCTCTTAATAAGAAACCCCCGATTTCCTCAGCCTCACTGATCCCAAGTTTTCTCACCCTGCACATTCTACATCAGACAAAAGATCCCCAGTCCCCTCTGTCTGAGGACCCCAGTTGCTTCAGCCCGTGGGACGCAGATCTCCTCAAGCCGAGCGACTTGTCCCTTAGACGTAGAACCTACGTTATAGCCAGATTTTTCTGAGTCCCCAGGAGGAGATCCTCAAAACCCTTCTTGGAGTAACATTCCCTCCGCTGCACTGGAACAGAGCCCTGATTTCAGCCTGACCCCAGTTAAGCAGTTAGGGGTTTTGGGATCTCCTCAAGAATCCCTCTGTCACCCACAGACACATCCCTCCCAGTGCCTTCCCTCAGAGGGGCTGATTTACAGGGGATCCAAAGAAACCAAATCTAGTTCACATTAGGCTGATCTGTCATATCTAGTCAGGATCCGTCCATCCCACCGGTACCCTCACCCTGACTTTCCCCTCACCTTCCTGGCCTGGACACTCCACCCAAGGCAGACAGACCAGGCTCTGGACACTGGTCTGGGCTATCTCAGAACCTTCTTCTTCCACAGGCACCTTGGCCCTGAGCACTCCAACGGCCATGAGGCCGAACAGGTCTCCAGAGGAGAGCACTGAGGGAGATGCTGGGAGAACAGAGCGGAAGCCCACGGTGAGAGGCGGAGGCGGCAAAGCTGGGCTCTAAGCCAGCTCTATAGGAAGGACACATCGCTGGTCCCTGAAGCATCACAGACTGGTTGCCTGGGCAGCTGAGTGAACTTCCCTGTGACTGTACACAGGATGGGAATGCCTGGTCCTGTCTGAGATGGTGGGAAGGAGTGGGACAAAACAGGACACTAGCTTCGTCAACTGCTCTGTGTCCAGGGAGAGCTAGGAAAATGCTCAGGGTTTGTTCAGTTAAGGAGGACACAGTTGGGAAGGAAAGTCTTCATCCCTGTGTCACACAGACCATCCAGCAGCTTCAGGCTACTCCCTGCACAAAAGGTGGAGGAGAAGGCTCAGCTCTAAGGTCTGACTTATATTAGTATATCACTGATGAAATCTATTATTTTCCTTAAGCCAAAGATGCTTTCAAAGACATCTCCGTATACTTCTCCAAGGAAGAATGGGAAGAGATGGGAGAATGGGAAAAAATCCGATATAAGAATGTGAAAAGAAACTATGAAGCGCTGATTGCTATAGGTAACAGGAAGTGCTGGGTGCCTGTGAGCCTAGGAAACATGAAACAGGTCTTCACTCAGTGTTCACTTGCCCGCTCTTAGGTGGCTTCATCTGCTCACAGTTCCCTTTTGTGTGGAGACTAAACTGGAGGAAATATTTACAGTTTTGTACCAAAGGGAGGTTGACCCTTCAGTGTAGAGCTCACCTCTTGCCTTATTCTAGATTCTCTCAGCCCATCCTACAGATTTGCTTGACTTTGTGACACTTTCCATTGCTTCTATGCTTTTTTTCTCCTTCTTAGAACAAATATTTTGCTTCTTTCCAGGTTTCATTTCCACTCGACCAATTTTCGTGCATCACCGCAGGCAGGTTATCAAACCCCAGGTAGATGACACTGAGGATTCTGATGAAGAATGGACACCAAGGCAGCAAGGTGAGAGGTCAGGAGGATATGGAGGTGTCTTCCTGAAACCAGCCTGGGCTTAGGTCTCAACTACATCTCAGCCATTAGCAAAGAAAACATAATTTTCAGCATTCCGAAGTGGTTGTGGCCAAATATTTACATAAGCCTGAATGAAGATGAAGGTATAGGTGTTCCAGTGTAATTCTCAAAAGTTTTATGGTTAAAATTTATCATTCTTTTTAAAAAGAATTATTTTTGCTAAACATTCTTAGTGAAAGGCAGTTAAAGAAACCTTAGAAATAAGCTCACCAAACAGATTTAATACTAATCTAATTGGTTATTGGATTAAATCTCTTCAAAGAGGCAATGATTAACATATTATGTCAAGATACATTATTTATGTATGTATATAAAACAAAACCCATGATCTTCTTACCCTAAGGTTAAACTAACTCTTTATTTTGATTCTGGGATAGGGTTGGAGAGAACTATTTATTCTCCATGATCTTTCCCACATTTCACTGACCAGAGATGGCATCAGGTAAATAAAATGAAGTACTTATTATAAAATAGAAGTGAGCAGCTCACTTCCTCTTCTGGTGCTCAAACAGTTTAGAAGAGTTAATCTGCCTAGACTGGAGAAAACAATTTAGATAGTTCTATGATTCTCCATCTATGGATTTCTGTTCTCCCAGATTTTTAAAAATTATTTATTTAGTTTTGGCTGCACTGGGTCTTTGTTGTGGTGCACAGGCTTTGTCTGGTTGCAGTGAGTGTCTTCTCCTTGCAGAGCACATGCAGGCTCTGTAGTTTGTGACACACAGGCTTAACTGCCCCGCAGAAAGTGGAATCTTCCTGGACCAGCCATCAAACCTGTGTCCACTGCATTGGCAGGCAGATTCTCATCCACTGTGCACCAGGGAAGTCCCTCTGTTCCCTGAGGTTATTAAAACTAGTGAAAGGGACATGAAAACCAAACATTTGTTTGTCTTCAAAGGTTTGACATAAAGAGAGATTCTTCATAGGGAATACATACGCCTCAGTTCACCATATGCCTGCACGTCTTTATTTACACTTTTTAACAATTTCTGAGTGTATGGCACACTGTTGCTAACTATGTACACATTAGTAGCCCACCAGGTTCCTGTGTCCATGGGATTCTCTAGGCAAGAATCCTGGAGTGGGTTGCCATTTCCTGCTCCAGTTGATCTTCCCAACCCAGGGATTGGGCCTGCATCTGTTGCATCTCCTGCATTGCAGTTGGATTTTTTTACTGCTGAGCCACCGGGGATATATATACACATTGCTGTACAACAAATCTGTAGAAATGTTACATCTTGTGTAACTGAAGCCCTAAACCACTGAGTAACAATTCTCCAATCCTTCCTCCTCACAGCCCTTGGCAGCCACAATTATATTTTCTGTTTCCATGGATTTGATTAATTTAGATAACTCATAGAAGTGGAATCAGGCAATATTTGTCTTTTTTGATTGGTTCATTTCACTTAGTATAATATCATCAAGGCCCATCCATGATGTAGCATATGATAGAATTCGTTTTTAAGGCTTCAAAACATTCCGTTGTGTGCATGTGGATATAATAGCTATAACACATATCTTATATATAATCTTTATCTTTTATCCACCAACAAACATTTAGATTGCTTACACACCTTGCCCATTGGAAATAATGTGGCAATGACCATACATGTACCCACTATTTATTCAATATCTTGCTTTCAATTTTTTATGGAAATACACGCTAGAGTTTGATTACTAGATCATACAGCAGTTCTAATTTTCTGTGGAAACTCCATACTGTTTTCTATAAAGCTTGCAACATTTTACATTGCCAACAATAGTGTATAAGGGTTCCAATTTATCCATATCCTTACCAAACTTGCTATTGTCTTCTTATACATATTGCCCATCACAGAAGGTTTCAATTTGTATTTCCCTTTTGATTAGTAATATTGAGCATCTTATGTTTGTTGGCCATTTGTGTATCTTCTTTGGAGAAATGTTTATTCAATTCCTTCTTTCACTGTTAATCAGCTCAGACTGCCATAACAAAACAGACTGCATTCCTTAAACCACAGAAATTTGTTTTCTTACAATGCTGGAGCACGGAAATTTGATATCAAGGTGTCATCGTGGTCAATCAGGTTCTCTTCCTGGCTTATAGGTAGCCTTCTTACTGGTGTATGCTTATTAACCCCTTATCAGATGCATATTTTACAAATATTTTCTACCATCCTATAGGTGGTCTTTTCAACTCTGTTCAGTGTCCTTTGCTGCACAGAGGTTTTAAGATTAATCTCATTTGTCTATTTTTACCTTGTTGCAAATACTTGTGCACTTGGTACCATATCTAAGAAATTATTGCTGATTCAATGTCGTGAAGCTTCACCCTTGTTGTCTTCTAAGAGTCTTATCAAGTCTTGCATTTAGGTCTTTAATCCATTCTGAATTGGTTTTTCTTCAAGATGTAAGATGTTCATTATTTTGCATATGGTTATTTTGTTTCCCCAGCACCATTCATTACAGGGATTAAACTTTCCCCATTATCTTGACACCTAGGTGAAGATCATTAGACAATGTATCCAAGAGTTTATTTCTGGCTGTCTATTCTGTTCCATTGATTGACATATCTGTCTTTATGCCAGCCAGCTTCCTCAGTGGCTCAGCAGGTGAAGAATCTGCCATCAGTGCAGGATACACAGGACATGCGGGTTCAATCCATGGGTTAAGAAGATCCCCTGAAGAAGGAAATGGCAACCCTGTCCAGTATTCTTGCCTGAGAAATCCCCTGGATAGAGGAGCCTGGAGGGCTACAGTCCAAAAGGTCACAAAAAGTCAAGAAGACTGAGCGACTAAGCACACATTTTTTGCCAGGTCTACACTCTTTTGGTTCCTGTACCTTTGTAGTATGTTCTGAAATCAGAGGCCTCCAGCTTTGCTGTTCTTTCTAAGATTGCTTTGCCTATTTGGGGTGCTCTGAGATTCCGTGTTAACTGATGGATTTTTGATATCTGAAAAAAAATTCCATTGGGATTTTAATAGGAATTGCATTGAATCTTTAAATTGCTTTGGGTAGTATAAACAGCTTAAAAATATTAAGCCTCCAAATCCATAAACATGAGACACCTATCTATTTATTTATGTCAGATTCCTTTCAGCAATATTTTGTAGTTTTCAATATATAAGTCTTTCATCTCCTTAAATTTATTCCTAATTACTTCATTCTTTTCAATGCTATTATAAAGAAGATTATTTGTCCAGTGGCTAAGGCTCCACACTCCCAATGCAGAGAACTTGGGTTCAGTCCCTAGTCAGGGAACTAGATCCCACATGCCACAACAAAGACCTGGCACAAAGAAATAAATAAAAATAAATATATTTTTTAAATTTAGCTCTTGACTATAGCTTTAAAAAAATGAAAAATAAACAGGATTGTTTTCTTATTTTCCTTTGTGGAATGGTCATTCTTCGTGAATGGAAAGATATTTGAATGTTGATTTTGTACCATGCAATTTTCTGTGCAGGATTTTTGTGTGTGTGGATTTCAAGATTTTTCTGCACATAAAACCATGCCCCTGTGAACACACATAATTTTACTTCTTTATTTCCAAATGGAAGCCTTTTGTTTCCATTTCTAACCTAAAGCCCTGGCTAGGACTTCTAATATTATGGTGAACACAAACGTTGATAATGGTCATCCTTGCCTTTTTTTCTTGATCTTTTTCACTGATGACTATGATGTTAGAGGTAGACTTTCAATATATGACCTTTATTGTATTGCAGTCACTTCCTCCTATTTCTACATTGTTGAGTCCTTTTGTCATGAAAGACTAGTAAATTTATTAGATATTTTATGAACATCAGATGAGGCACAGATGAAGTTTCATTTTTTTTAATTTTAAGGAAATGATGTAATGCTCCCAGTGGAACCATGGGAGCTGATGACACAGAAATCATCTTCCATTCCTCCTTGGTAAGCCTTGTCCTTGTCGCGCTCTGGCTCAGGGTCCTGTGTCCTGAGTTAGAAGCCCAGAGTGTGGAATCATTTACCAACCAAGACACTGATTCTCATCACTCTTTAGGTAAACCATCTGCGATGGCCTTCAGGGTGGAGCAGACTAAACACCAGAAGGTGAGTATTTCCCAAATCCTGTTGCCAAAATATCCTCCTCATGGATCCAGTCACAGGTGAGAATAGGAGAAAGCACAGAGATCCTGGAGACTGCTGCCTTCCTGTCCTGAATCTTTAGCACAATGTCTGACATCATCACCATCTCTACAGTTAGTAAGAACAACAACAGTAGTAGGCGGTTCTGTTGTTACATTATTTTCATAATATTTCAGACTTTAAGCATTTTATGTGAATAAACTTACTTAAACCTTAAATCAATCCTACAGTGCCTATAAGTAGGTATATAGCTATCACCATTATAGATAAAAAAACTGAGGTAAAAAACATTTGATTATATGCCTGAGATCACAGTATCACTGGTAGTGCAATCTGAACCAATGCACGTTCTCTAAACCCCTTAGAAACTGATTAAAACTTCCGTAGTTCTATGAAGCTTATTCATACATCTTTATATCATTCATCTGAGAGATGTTTTCAACCTCAGTTCTGTTGTGCTGTGCTAGGGAGGGATATGCTAACACATCTGACTAAGGGAAGCTTAAGGACATGCTGGGCAGTTTGTAGAGTGGATGGTCCAAGATAAAGAAACTTAAGGACATGCTGGGTAGTTTGTAGAATGGATGGTCCAAGATGAAGAAGATAAGGACATGCTGGGCAGTTTCTAGAGTGGACAGTCCAAGATGAAGAAGGAGACAGGATCCCTACCTCAGAGCCTCCCACTCCAATAAGAGGAAGCAACTCCCAACCCTGATAAGCATCAGGTTTATGACTGAAAAGCAACAAATAAGAAAATAACAGAAGGACTTCACATAGATTACCTGCCTTTGAGTAGAAACTCATAATCTAGGCATCATTTCAAATGCTCATTCTTGTGGGAGGGAGTAACAACTCCTTCCTCTGAGCTCTAATTAGGCAACTCTCCTGTTTGGAATAATTTCTTTAGCCTACCCCTGTGCTGTGAGCTTTGAGAGCCTAGCCCACACCCATTCATTCTCCGAAGTCCAGGCCCAGCTCAAAGCCTCTGAGGGCCCCCTGAATGTTTTCTGAATGAGTGACTCCACATTTAAGCATGCATCTAGGAGTAGAAAGGTCAAAGAATGCTGAAGATAGTATCTCTGAGCTACACCTGAAATATAGTGGCAGTTTAGGGAATAAATTGATACCAAGGATGTACGCTCACATTCTTACTGTATTAAATAGCTCACACAACAATTTGTTGAAGGTTATTAAATTTCATGCCCACTATAACATTAAGAATTAGCCTGTATACCAATTAATGGATCAGGAAACTGAGGAGAACCAGCTAGTCATACAGCCTTGTTCAAGGAGAACTGATGAGACCAGCTACTTTAATTCCAAACATTGTCTCTAGGACATGGCAACCTGCAAGTTTCATCTCATTTTCTTTATTGTCTAAATGTGTTTCTGCCGATCGTCTTTTCTCTTCTTAATCTCACTGCTTTGTCACCTTATTTTCCAGATGTGTTTTGTCCTCTCTGTAATTTTCCATACTTCCTCATCCATCAAAGGGCCACTAATTAATAGAAAAGCCCCGGATCTCTCTATGAGCCCTCTTCTTTCCCTGACCTCCAGCCTTGCCTCCCTGCCTTGCTCTCACTTTTATGCAGAAAGTTGAAGGGAAAGAACCTTAAGATATGAATTCTAGTTTGGTTCACTATCGACCTAGGTCTTTTTTTTTTTAACACTCCAGTGTTCAGACCACCCCCCCCCCCCACCCCCGCCGCCAAATCAGGTATTTCCAAGAATTGTCAAAGTATTAACTAAAGTCATGCATGTGAGAGCACTTCATAAAGTCCTAAAGAACTAAAGAAATGCATGTTGTCTTTTACTCACATGGAAGAGAATGTCCAGGGAACCATTAAGTAAGGATTTTGTTTGAAGAAATTGCCAGGAGCAGCAAAATTGCTGAAGACAAGTAGGTCCAAGCAGGTTCAGAAACCAGTGCCCCATCACAGAAAAGCAAGGACCCCTGGACAGCACCCCAGACAAAATGTCGGTAAGAGAAATTTGGGGGAGTTCCTCTAATTAGTTCCTCTAATCCCTGTAGAAAAACCAATAAGTATGACCTAAGTGTGTGGCATGGACTTTGGGTAGGTGGGGGTTTAAGCTGAACTGATCTGAGACATGAAGTTAGCACTGGGGCCTTGGGAAAATCTTATACATTTTCTGAGGTCCTGATTGCTATCTGTAAAGTGAAGATAAAGATATGTAACTCATACAGTGCTTGAAAGCCTTACATTAAATGCAAAAGTCTGACACATACAAGTAGTTCAATAAATCCAGCTGTGATCATAGAAACAGTGCTTTGTTAGTGTTTATGCCCAGACCTCTGCTCAATGCCTTACGTGTCATGTGCCCTTAACATATATTTTCTGAGTAGATGTGCCAGTGAACTCTGTCCTAAGTAGGAAGGTTTGGGAGTTAAACCTACTAACAGGAAGTGCAGGATGCTATCACTGAACTGGGCATCTGTGGTCAGTGAGGAGCCTCAGTCTCCTGAACCAGTAGTTAAAGGGAGAAGAAACAAAGTAAAGGAAAGAGACTTCCTGTGGGTTAAGTGGTTAAAATTCCACACTTCCACTGCAGGAGGTGTGGGTTCCATTCCTAGTTGGGGAACTAAGATCCCACAAGCCATGCAGTGTGGCCAAGAAATAAACAATGTAACATTAAAACATAAAATTACAAAAGTAAAAGTTTGAAAAATACATGTAAGAAAGTTTTAACAAAGTGTATAGACGGACAGGTAGTAGATCTCACACTTTCTGATAAAACAGGGACTAATTCCCCAGACCCCACCAGCCTTGCTTAGCTTCTGTTCTCCATCTTAGAACTCAGAAGAAAGGAGACTGGAGTGAAGAGGTACAGTCTACGAGAAAGAAAGGGCCACGTGTACCAAGAGGTCAGCGAGCCCCAGGATGACGACTACCTCTGTGAGTGACCCCGCTGGCCCACTCACGGAGAAGGGGCTATGAGGCCTTGGTCCACTAACCTCACCTCACCACTTGGTCCCCCGGCCGTCCCCTTCCTCTATGACTTGGGGTGCTGGATTGAGGCCAAATGCCATGAATGCCCCAGTTCTTTCTGAAGGTCGTTATGACCAGCAACATCACTATACCTCCTCTCATCCCTGTTCTCACCTCCAGATTGTGAGCAGTGTCAGAACTTCTTCATCGACAGCTGTGCTGCCCACGGGCCCCCAGCCTTTGTCAAGGACTGTGCAGTGCCAAAGGGGCACGCCGACCGCTCAGCGCTCACCCTGCCCCCTGGGTTAAGCATCAGGCTGTCGGGCATCCCTGACGCTGGGCTTGGAGTGTGGAACGAGGCATCCGATCTGCCGCTGGGCCTGCACTTTGGCCCCTATGAGGGCCAGATCACAGACGATGAAGAGGCCGCCGACAGTGGATATGCCTGGCTGGTGAGAAGCACCCGTTTCCCTGTCGTCTGGCCTCTAATCGCTTGTATGTGGTGGGGGGTACTTCATGTCTACATGGGAGGATGAGGATGGTGATGACACCATCGGCAATGACACGGGTAGCCCTGTGTACTGTGTGCACTGGGCGTGAACACAGGACTTCCATCTAAAGGTCAGAGGAGAGGTGGGACCCCACTGTACAGACACACGGAACCTCTATCTAAAGGTCAGAGGGGAGGTGGGAACACAGTGTACAGACACACAGGACCTCTATCTAAAGGTCAGAGGGGAGGTGGGAACACCTTGGTACATACTCACAGGACCTCTATCTAAAGGTCAGAGGGGAGGAGGGAACACAGTGTACAGACACACAGAACCTCTATCTAAAGGTCAGAGGAGAGGTGGGAACACAGTGTACAGACACACAGGACCTCTATCTAAAGGTCAGAGGGGAGGTGGGAACACAGTGTACAGACACACAGGACCTCTATCTAAAGGTCAGAGGGGAGGTGGGAACACAGTGTACAGTCACACAGGACCTCTATCTAAAGGTCAGAGGGGAGGTGGGACCACAGTGTACAGACACACGGAACCTCTATCTAAAGGTCAGAGGGGAGGAGGGAACACAGTGTACAGACACACAGGACCTCTATCCAAAGGTCAGAGGAGAGGTGGGACCACAGTGTCGAGACACACAGGACCTCTATCTAAAGGTCAGAGGGGAGGTGGGAACACAGTGGACAGACACACAGGACCTCTATCTAAAGGTCAGCGGAGAGGTGGGACCACAGTGTCGAGACACACAGGACCTCTATCTAAAGGTCAGAGGAGAGGTGGGAACACAGTGTACAGACACTCAGGACCTCTATCCAAAGGTCAGAGGAGAGGAGGGACCACAGTGGACAGACACACGGGACCTCTAACTAAAGGTCAGAGGAGAGGTGGGAACACAGTGTCCAGACGCACAGAAGTGACTCCTCCCTTGTGGATCCCTTGCCTTCAAGTAACCAAGAGACTCAGACTTGGAATGATGAGTAATAAGTTAACCGTGTGATCTGACTGGCAGTTGAATCCATGCAGGCTGAAAAGCACCAATGACTGCAGAGGGAAATAGCTCCTCTATTGCTTCCTACCGATTAAAAAAAAAAAAAAGAGGCAATCTTTTAACTCTTTTTCTGACACTCAGATCACCAAAGGGAGAAACTGCTACGAGTATGTGGATGGAAAGGACACGTCTTGGGCCAACTGGATGAGGTGAGTGCAGTGAGCCTGCACTGTGTAGACATTGATACTCCCTCAATCCCACGCCCCTTTCCTTCTCAACCCGGCTCCCTCAACAGCTTTCACATCTTCTTTCCTCTTTTCCCTCCATATCATGCTCTTTCATTTCAAAAGACACTAGAAAGAAGGAAATAAAAATATGCCATGTGCCATCAAGATACTAGTCTATATGCTGAACAAAACTGGTGGACTTGAAATCAACTTGAGGAGTCTAGATTCACCAGGGACACTTTAACTCACTTAATGGACACTTACCACGCACTTTATGTTTCAGTTTAGACAGTGAAGTTCGTTACGGAAGCAGATCACAGAACCCATGTCCTTTTGGAAAACATCCTGCAAACACACATTAGCCAACTGATTTTAGGAACAGTAACCTTATTTTTTCTCTCTTTGAGTAACTACACAGTGCCAGGATAACCTAACACAGGAGACCTTGACTCTATGTGGCAACAACCTCCCCAGGCTTGGTTCCAGTGAGAAGTGGGCCCTGAGGCCTCGGAAGGAATGGGGGGCAGGATGGCCCTGAGCAGGGCCGTTCTCTGAGGGCCTCTCCTTTCATCAGGGCAGCAGAGTGTGAATAAACTGTTACTGTTCCGTGTCTCAAGCTATGTCAGAGCTCTCTCCAAGTTTCCATGAAGGGGGTGGGCAAGTGAATATGACCCTGGATACACGTGGGTAGATGGGAGAAAGCCTGAGGAGAGAAGGCAGGCTGGGGTGAGTGCTGAGGGCTGCGTGCTAGCCGAGGAGCACCAAGTCCTGTGGATGAAAGAGAACTTTATTCAGAGTTTAGACAAGCTGGAGGTAACCAGACTCACAGACAGTCCAGGTGGAGATGAGTCTGTAACTGGACTCTGGAAAATGGTTAATTAGGTAAGGAGAGAAAAGCATTCCAGCCAGGAAGAGGAGTGGAAACAGGATCTAGAAATGGGAATTCACATGGCCTGGTTGAAGGTGCTAACAAAAGGTCCCCATGAGGGGTGGCCTCAGAGCTGGAAGGCAAGGAGCTGGGCATGAGTCAACACTGGAGGATTCCAACCTGAGATTTCTTTCCCTTTCCTGGCCTCGCCCCCAGGTATGTGAACTGTGCCCGGGACGATGAGGAGCAGAACCTGGTGGCCTTCCAGTATCACAGGCAGATCTTCTACTGAACCTGCCAGGTGGTCAGGCCGGGCTGTGAGCTGCTGGTCTGGTACGGGGACGAGTATGGCCAGGACCTTGGCATCAAGCGGAACAGCAGGGGAAAGAGTGAGCTTGCGACCAGGATTGGTAAGTGTCACCCATCTTCCAGCACCCCACCGCATCCTGGGGAGCCTCCCTGGGCCGATTTCAGGGCAGAGTACAAACCGGACTAAAGTCAGTCAAGTCGTCATTAATATGCCCCAGAATTTGATTCATTTCATATGACTGTTAGTAAAAAAAAATTATTTTAAAAATGTTAGTTCTCATTTTCAATATTTCGTGCAAAAAATATGTAACATCACCTTCTGCTGAAAGGCTTAGAAGCAAAAGCAAGTTTTCTAGCACCTACCAGCTCTCTGCCCTTTACCTGTTTGTTCCTCATTCCCTCCCATTTCCAAGCGACACATGTACAGTGATGTGCATTCAGTTACTGTTCCAGTTTGTTGTCATGTGAGTTCATGCTCTGTGCCAGACGGGGCTCCACGCACCCAAACAGACAGGACCAGTGCCCTGGGGCAGCAGGGGCTTCATACCAGGCAGGGGCTGGTGCTCTGAGGAAAACCAGCGCAGGGAATGTGCCTCGGGTCAGCGTGAGCAGAGGGTGGGGTGTGGTGCAGGATGGTGCGGCAGGGTCTCTGCAGAGATAACACCTGCAGGAAAGGATTCCAGGCAGGGGAGCAGCCAGTGCCTCAGCCCCAGGGCTGGGAAGAGAGGCCATGCCAGGGGTCACGGGAGGAAGCACAGAGGGAGGGGAAGGAGGCTGGATGGGACACGGAAGCCTCAGGGCCTGTGTCCACGTGCAGGCCCCAGGGGTCCTCCTAGGTGACAGAGAACAACCGCGAGACTTTCAGCTGCAAGCAGCATGTTCTCTGTTCTGTGACAATGCTTTGGTTCCTTTTTTGGGAAGAGACAGCAGTGGGGAGTCCCCTCACAGCTCAGTTCATTGCCAGACATGAGGGGAGAATGGGCTGGCTAAAGATGCTTGGGAGTGAGGGTGTGAGGAGTCTGGCTGGAGATGTATTTTTAAACAGGGTTTCCTAGTGCATGTTAAATGGACTAAGACTGAATGAAATAAATGAGGTATGAATACTAGTGAGGTTTGAAAAAGGACATGCCTTTATTTTCTGATTTATGGAAAACTGAGAGAGGAGCAATTTGTGAACTAGTTGGGGCAGCAGGAGCCAGAGACCTGTAGTCAATGGGACCTGGGCCGGTCGCCCAGTCTCAAACCCACTTCCTGCAGAGATCGGCACAAAGGCTGCTCTTTGAACAAGGAGCCATAAATTCAGCTTTACTCACACCTGCTCTAACCACCCCCTGTGCTGTCTCCCATATGCAGAGAGCTCCAGGCCAGGCGCCCCTAACTTAATAGACCCTTCCCCTCACAGTGAGCCTCTCAGAGATTCCACCTAAGTCATCAAGTCTTATCCCTCAGTAGGGTAAAACACCTATGTCCACCGTGACATGACTTTTCCAATAATTACATGCAGGGAAAGTCCCTGCAGATCCATCTCTATCAGGAGAGATGCTGCCTCTTATGATGCTGGAAGGTCCCTATCTGGGTGATATGTAGAAAAGGCCCTTGACACAAGCTTCCTGGATTTCTGTAGATGTAAAGAATAAGAATGGAATGGAAAAGTGAACTGTAAGACACACTTGATGGGAGACAAATCGTGCCCTGTCAACACTAAGATGATTAGTGGGGCAGACCTGACCATGGCAAACCAGCTACCTGACCAAAAGCTTCCTCTTTCAGCAGAACCAAAGCCCAAGATTCACCCATGTGCCTCCTGCTCTCTGGCTTTCTCCAGTCAGAAATTCCTCAGCCAACACATCCAACGCAGTCACCCCCTCAGACCCTCCTGAGACCATCTGAAAGAGACCTCCTCCAACCAGAGGATCCCTGTCCAGGCAATCAAAACCAGGAACACCAATATTCTGATCCAAACAGCCCGAGTGACAATCCTGAGGGTCACGAGGCCAAGGAAAAACCGCAACATTTGCTGAAAAGCATAAGGCTGAAGAGGATTTCAAGGGCCTCTTCCTACTCACCCAGAGGACAAATGGGGGGTTCTGGGGTGCAGGAACTAATGACAGAAGAGCCCAGCACTAGCCAGAAACTGAATCCAGAGGACACAGGCACATTACTCTTGGGGGCAGGGGTCTCAGGGATTATGAAAGTCAAGTACAGAGAGTGTGGGCAAGGCTCCAAGGACAGGCCAAGTCTCACCACACATGAGAGGACACACACAGGGGAGAAGCCCTATGTTTGCGGGGAGTGTGGGCGAAGCTTCAGTAAGAACTTCAATCTCATCACACACCAGAGGACACACTAGGGGAGAAGGCCTATGTTTGCAGGGAGTGTGAGTCATGAACAACAAACCACACCTTAGCCACAGGAGGATTACTGCAGCCACCCCATGCCTCAGCTCTAAGGGGGCCTCAGAGGAGGTCTGTGACCCGTTACTGTCCCCAGGAGCATGAGGAGAGACTTCCCAGGTGGTCCAGGATCAAGACTCCAATGCAGAGACCCACGTTCAATACCTGATTGGGGAACTAGCTCCCACGTGCTGCAGCTAAGACACAATGCATCTGAATAAATAAATATGTAAATAAATATTTTAAAGAGAGTGTGATAAGCACAGATTTACTTGATTAAATAGACCTTCCACTTTCGTGACATGAGAGGAGGTAGATAAACAGCAGAGGGTTTCTTAAGTGTTCTGGAGATGTTCATGCCAATTGCCTTCGTGGTTTTTTAGTACTCCTCTTCTAAGAAATTTTGTCTCCAAACAAATCTGAAGCCCAGACTATAAACTCATTCCCCCCTTATCACTGACAGCAGTGGGGTCCAGTCGTAGCTGAACACCTCAGGAGGCATAATTCTGGAGCCAAGTCAGTTCGATCACTGGACAGTCAGCTCCTGGGCCCAGGGAGAGGAATGTAGAGTTGAGTCAGACTCACCGGGGAAGGGATTCCCCGGCCTCCTGGGAAGTGTGGCTTCTCTTCCTTATGGACCTCGACTCTCCTTTGGCCTCTCCTGGGGGCCCTCTGGTTCCCTCTGACTTCTGTAGCCTCAAAGGTGAAGGCCTTGTGCACATGTGAGTGTGTGTGCGTGTGTGTGCCTGGCTCAGCATGGGCCGTCTGGTCTCTGCCACTACCTCGGGGTCATCACAGCATCTGGACTCTAGATTTGACTACAGTGGTCCAGTTCTCAGCCCTACACTCAGCAGCTGTGTGAGCTTGGGCAAGATGCTCAACCTCTCTGTGTCTCTATTCTCATCTGTGATACAGGGTGGGAGCACCAGTATTTTGGTCTGATGTGTAAGCACAGGCAGAATCTGGCAGAGGCTGGCTAAGAATGCAAGCCCGGCCTTTGCTGTTCTTTGTGTTTTTTTTTCTTTTTTTCTTTAATCTCTTTTTTTCCCCCCATTTATTTTTATTTGTTCGTTGGATGTTAATTACTTTACAATATTGTAGTGGTTTTTGCCATACATTGACATGAATCAGCCATGGATTTACATGTATTACCCACCCCGATCCCCCCTCCCACCTCCCTCTCCACCCAATCCTTCTGGGTCTTCCCAGTGCACCAGCCCCGAGCACTTGTCTCATGCAACCAACCTGGGCTGGTGATCTGTTTCACCCTACATAATATAAATGTTTCGATGCTGTTCTCTCAAAGCATCCCACCCTCTCTTCTCCTACAGAGTCTAAAATCTGTTCTGTACATCTGTGTTTCTTTTTCTGTTTTGCATATAGGGTTATCATTACCATCTTTCTAAATTCCATATA